CCCCCCCCCCCCCCCCCTCGCTAGGTGCAACCTTTTGCCGCACTTGGATTACTCACATCCACCAATCATAATCACGTAACATCAGATACCACACGAATTCACTGTGATTGCCACCTCCTGCCCACGTGATGGATCAGTGCAGATACGTTTAAGTGTTGTGCGTGTTGAGTGTGCGGTCTGGAGAGATCAACCACCCGATCGCAAGTTATTGTTCTTACTGTAATCTAGTCTTTCATTTGCATCATGTACTCAACTGCTATTCCCTAACGCATCGGTGATGTGTCTCATTTTTTCTTTTCCCAGTTGGCATGTTTCATTACAATCCCAAAGCATCATTAGCCGATTTGATTAAAAAGAACTTACAGGATGATATAGACTCCGTTTTTCAAGCCCCTGGGGTAAGTCACTCTGCAATGGTCGCCTACCTCTTCGTGAATTGATTATCTTTTGTCCCCCTTAATCACGCACATCAGTCATCATAATGCTTATGTAAATGCAATAGTTGAAATTAGGAATTAATAGGTTCATGTGCAGATTGCATTTCCCCACCCTAATCTGTATGTACCAATTTCGTATTCTTCTTCCGTTATCGGTTGTTGGCTCGTGCGATCGCATCATCAAGCCTTATGGGTCACTCACCCTTTGATTGCTTTGTCCCCTCACATGAAACAACTTTGGTTAATTGTGGAATGCAATAACTTAGGTGTGTGTCTTCTTCTTTCTTTTCTAAATATACCTGCATGTGCGAAACTCACCGGAAGAACGTGTATCTTCAAAGTTGTTGCTATTTCGCCTATATCTTGATAATTTGATGTCTAATAATCCATAATCCATAGTCCACAATCCAATATACTCGATTCGTGTTATTGTACGTACACCCATCTTCCGTGTTTGTTTATTTTTTGTAATGTAGGCTAATTTACAGATGAAGTGGTCACCCACTATACTTTGTTTCCTATGAATATCTATTGAATTGATTGAAATGGCCTAATTCCCTCTGTATCCCTTTCCTTCCCCGTCCTATCAGTCCGAAAACTTTACTCGTGGTTGCATCAATTTTGAGCTAGCAAAGTCATACTTACTTTATCGTTCCAGGTAGGTGAATCGCTATTTTTTGCAATTTCGTTCGCCACTTGAGTGCTTGAGTTCCTTCTCACAACTTCCCTGCTGGGATCAGAGGTCACGATCGTTTATAATTGCAATGTTGCTAGAACACATCCACATATATTGAACATCAACCGGTACTTTATGGTATTAGCGTAAACGACCGGCTAGTTTTTAGTCCCACATGGAGAATCTGTACGGCGTATCCGCACGCCGGTACTCAAGTCCACCATGCGATGCATACTGCGCGTTTCACGGAGGAGGTAACATGTGCAGTGCATCGCGTACGGCTGATACGCGAACTGCAGCACCTAGCCTTACTGTGCAACGCACTCGTTTACCTAACTAATATCGGATAGAATAATGTTATTCGCGTATCTGCGGTTGGTTGACAAATCTTTTGGAGCGCCAGAGCAAAAACAGAATCCAGTGAATACGGTCACTTGCTTCGTTTTTTTATTACACATAAGGTGAATTATAGTGAAAGGAAAAATCCCCATAGAAAAATAGCTTCGTGTAAAAGGAAGATTAAGGAAACATTCACGTTAGACCCAGTTTATTGATTCTACGTTTAAAGAGTGTAAGGTTGTTAGTTTCGGAAAGACAGAAAGTGGGAAGGTGTTCCACAACTTGGCAGTTCGGGGGACAAACGAAGATTGAAGCAAAGAAGTACGACATATGAGAACTGAAATCTAATAAGAAAGAATAGATGCCTGTGTACTTCATTTATTATTATTTCAAGACGTAACCAACCAAGTACCGATAACTGGCAAATGTGCCACAACATATGAGCAAAATGAAATCTGAAAAATGTGTTCATAGTTTTCCCTGGCATAAACGGGTAAAAGTTTCAGGAAGAGGAACTGACGAGGCAAACTCCGAAGAACAAGAAACAAAGTACTGAGGGTAGAGCAGGGACAATAAAGCGACTGCCCGACGATGGGCTAGTAGCTGCAGACTGGATATCAGGGCAGGATCATCGAGCAGCCGGATGCCTTTGGTTGAACACGATGGAGAACGGAAGGAGAAGAAGACGAAGTCCCCACCCCACACATGACTGCAATATTCCAGAGCAGGTCAGATTTGAGCTTTGTGCAGTAAAATAAGACGACCTGGGGGGTGAAAAATGTCTGGCGTGAAATAAAACGCCAACCTTGTGCGCAGCACGAGAAGCAAGCTGAACTATAAAAGGGGTAATCTAAGAAGGGAAACGGAGCCTGTGGAACGCAGTTATGTGGAATCAAAAGGGGAATGGAGGTAGAAGCGATGGCATTTTAAAGAAATTGAAAGAAGAGTGTTTAGAACCATCGTGGTTTCCGAAACGTCCGAAGAGAATCAACAATCGTTCCAAGGATAAGAGGCTAGGAAATCACGGAAATCGTCCCAGTTGGTTGAGTTCTAGCTCAATAATGTGTCTCGAGGTGGGTGGCGGATCAGGGTTGGTAAAACTAATGGAGCAAGAAATGATGTAGTAATCCGATGAGTTAAGCAGAGAGAGAGAGTACAAATATCTGAGAATAAAGAAGAGACCGAAGTGAGAATTATATCGAGGGTGTGAGAACGATCGCCAGCTCGACCAAAAACACGTGTGAGGAGATTAACTAGTTAACTTGAGTCATTGACTAGAGCGAAATGTTCAGCTTCGCGTCCCAAAGAATAAGTAGCAGATGAATGTATCAACCCATCCTGATTATGAACATGGAAATCTCCCAAGACGGTAACATGGCAGTTGGAGTCGATTGCAAACAAGTGTGCAATATCCGAAGATAGAAAGTCAAAGATGAATGAGTCACCATTATTGAGAAAACGATATAGAACACAAAGGTAATGATTAAAAGAAGGAAGTCGGAACTTTATGCAGTGAAACACGTTGATCAAAATTAACCAAGCTCATGCACTAACCGAACGTGTACTAGATAAACTTGACCACTCCGAACGGGTACCGCTCTGTGTGCTTCCTTGAAAATATTTTCTTCTTCCGTTATTTAACAGTTCTGTCGTCTTGAAAAGTAACACTGAAGAACACAAGATGTGTATGTTACCGCTTTCGGGAAATTATTGGTCTTAGTGGTTTATATACTTATCGTTCAAGCAAATCTGGCCGAATTTGCCAATTGACTCTCTCTCTCTCTCTAACCACTTTAATGCAGATAAAAATGATCCGGTTTTTAAAAAAATGCACACCAAAAGTTGAAGCTGAAGCTTTTTAGGCCCTACGCTTCTGGCTTCTCAGATTAGATTAACTGGCTTTACTCACAGGATTGATCAGGGCCAACTTGGGCATAGTTAGCTTGCCAGTTGTGGCTCACAACTCAGCTGAAGTTGTGGCAATCAATGTAGTAATAGGCCGAACCAGCTGTCATTTGTCAGAACAAATGACCGAAAATTTCTTCGCAAGTCGATGACGCAACCCATGCCCGAAAATCAGGCGATCACAACAAAGCTAGGGTCATCTTTTGCAAAACACCTCAACGATTAGACATAGTTGATCCTAATTCCTCTTTCAAACCACCTAAGTAATCGCAATGCCAGACTTGATCCGTGTGCGTAACTGCATCCCATGTTATTGATATAATCAATCCACTTGCCATGATGTCAACCTTTTGTTTCTAGTTATCTTTAAGATCTATCTGTTCACTTCGGTTCACTAGGATTTACCAACGCAATGTGCTGTATACATGCGAGCAGGCTTTATTTTTCCGATTGGGAGATCAAAAAATGTCAAGATCTTGCAAGTTTTGTTCCTTCTCATTGTTGATGCAGCCTCAAAACTAATGGTTGTGAAAGTTTCACAGAAATCAGAAATCATTCAGTGTTTACAGATATTATAGAAGAATAGTTTATTTTATCAAATTTCTATTGATAAAGCTGATTAACTGTTTGTTTTTCTTCCAATATTGCCATTTTGCCAAACGATAACACACTTCTGGTTCACACCTTTCTTATCACCTATCAGATATACCTCACTAGACGTTCCTCGCTCAGTCTTGCTCTGCAATCGTGATTTCATCTTTTGTTTTTGATGCAGTTCACCGGATCCTCCTTTTGGCGATATACCGATGGCCTTTCACGCCCTCAAACGGCCCTCGATAACCGATGCGAAAAGTTCACTACCAGTCAGCGAGTCAGATATCACACTTGTGGCCTGCAAGTTGCCTGTGCTCGATCCTAGTACGCATGACTCCATTGCGCTTATGCATTTGGACCCGGACTATCCGAACTCGAAGTGAGAGCGATTAGGTGACCAAACACACCATTTGGACTAATCGTTGCTCTACTGTTTTTTCCCGTTCGTTGCTTGGTTCATCTAGTTGCATGTGGTTTGTGTGGCATGCAACTGCGTTGCGTTGGCGGAACACATTCAGTTAAAGTCGGTCCGACCGCGTTGGTGACTCGTTTCACTCAAGATGTGACATCGTTTTGAAAATCCTCATCAAGCAATTTCGTAATCGCATGTCTTGATAAAATAGGCAAACTCCGTAGTCTCGGGACCGACTGTTCGGTTGCGCAATCGAGTAACATGATTCCATGGGATTCTGATATTTGAGCCACACCCGTTTTATTGTACACCTCAGTGTGATGAACAGCTAGTCGCATAGACCTGCCATTCAGTGATGAAAACCAGCAACCTAAGCCAGGTTAGGCGTGGATTGAACTAGACGACAGCAAAGCTGCCTACCCTAGGTTCCCTTTGGCGTTGAGCCGGACGATGTAGTTGATTCAACCGAAGTTGGACGGCCGTTGCGAGAATGTTTGTGACTATTGTTGCTCTAGGTTAATCAAGCTCTTATCGAATTTTGGGATCGGAATCCTCATGATGCAAGTTAGTAAGCTGTATTGATTTTCACAGTCAAACGATCTGTACATTGTTGAATTTATTCAACCGTTAACCTGGCGATTTCGTGCAACATCTGTACTGTTGTCTTCATTAGAAGATATCAATGCACGAATTTCGTTTTTTATATTTTACTTCCTTTTATTGAATATATAATGATACAATTTTCCCGAAGGGGGGAAGCGGCCAATCAACGGGATGCTGTGCAATACAGAATAGGGAAGTCAGGATGTGGTGGTGAAATTCGAACACACGTCCTCCGGGGTGTTAATTCGGTGTTCCTAATCCCTCGGCTACCACTGTCCACAGTAATGCAAGTTCCTCAACCCCAGCGTGTGATTGCTTTCCTTAGGGATTCATCGTTTTTTCGCCTAAAGTAATAAAACCGTGGATAAAGACTGTATTTCTCTAGCGGTAGGTGTACGGTGAGTCTAGTTTAACATCCTTGTGGCATGTATTGTGCCCAATAATCCCTTTGGTCTAATCCACTCGGTTTTCACCATGTCTAGAATATTCTAAAGCGAATTGATACGCCTTATCCCAGGAGTTTTTAAATCAGGATTTCCTTCTTGAAATGATCTAGTGGTTTATCAGTCAATCTGGTTCTGGGTTTTCATCTTTCGTCCTCGCATTTGATTGTATGTACTGTTGCCACGAGAAGGCAGTGTGTACGGTTTTGAATGCAGACGATTTCAGAGACCTAATCGTTAAGAGTGATTCATAATTTAGGGACCGAACGGTCAGCGCTAAGCCACCCACTTCCGCCGTACTCTGTCTATCCAAAAGAAGCAATTTTGTTCTGTCGGATTGTGTTGTACAAAACGGGCAGTTTTCCTCACCGTCTCGAATCTAAGGAGAATTCACCGCTCCATTTGGGAATGTCATATCATTCAAAACATCCTCTGACCTACAAGACAGAGAGAAAGAGAGAGACAAACAAGAATATGATAGTGAACCGGTAGTAAATGCAATGTTTTCGATGATCATTCGTCGTTGATCCCAATATTTGGAAACGTGTGTGCAAATGAAGAATTGAATTGCTCTCACATTGGGCCTTATACTGAATCCTCATCGTCGATAATCTTTTCCATGTGCACAATGTGAACAAACTGTATTTGTCATGCACACGTTGTATTTTCACCCCAGTGTAAACTGAGCACAGCTCTGATGTAGGAATAGGAAATAGCGTTTAGATTCTCCATTAGTCTTAAGATCATTGAAATTGTTTCACGTTGGTGAAATTCACCAAACGGAACTGAGTACCATCATTCGTGAATGAGGTCACTATGCTTTTCAGTTTGAATGTTGGTGGAATCTTCCCATAACTGGTGAGATCACCGCTAAGGAAAGCTACACTTGATTAGTTCCAATAAATCGCTTTTCCTACTGAAGATCTTCGTAGTGAAATGTGTCGCATGAGTATGATGTAATGTTCTTTGATCAGCCCACCCTTCATTCACTTGTTTTTCAAACTGACACCACTTATTTTTTGTTGCTGCTGCCTTTGTTTCTCGGTAGGGTCAACCCGGTTTGCCAAATTGATCTTAATCATATTTGTTTCCTACGAATGCCTGATATTTCTCTCACCCCCTTTTTACTATAGAAATTCCCGTTTGTCGGCTGTTGTGACCGTTGACGAGTTACCTTCGGTTACGAATCCGCATAATCTGTGAGTGTTTCGACGTTTGTCACCGGTATTCCACTGCTCAGTATCCTTTTGTGCCATCTATCCCCCCATCTCTCGTTCGTTTGCTGTCCTCATCTGTCCAAATACGAGTTGAGTGCAAATTGTGCCATCATTCATATATTTAGTGGCCGATCTAAGTGTTGGAGAGCCTATTTTTTCCTGAATACCACAATGGTAAAGGGATTTGAACCAATCCCTACTGCCGGGGGCTACCCGGTTTCTTCGCGACTTTGTCCAACGTTGGTAGCAATCAAGAAGACGGCAGCTCCGGCGCTATCACCCTTGTGATTACGTTCTGTTTGCTTTTGGTTGAAAATCGGAGAGGGCCGTTTGACGAAGTCTTTTGGTCAAAGGTCCCGTGATATATGTATGTATCACCTAACAAACCATTGATCACCGACACGTCGGCATCACATTCACTTTATTCTTGTTGTTGTCGTCAATCTATCTCCACCACAACTGATTCTAGTATTTCGTGTAACCTCACTCATCTGGACTCGTTGCTATGAAACTGAATGAAATGGAAGCCATGGTGTGCCAATAACCCACCATAAAATCACATTTATTATCATACTTGGCACACATCTGAAATGGATTACCACTCCATGGTCATGAATAATGCCCCCGAATACTGTGTGATCTTTTTCATGCCGTCACATGGACCTACTGCTTAATTATGGTTACCGTTAATCCGAGCCCTGTGACTTAAAGTGCCAAACCACATAAACGCCCAAGTGTAATAGTCGTGGTTACTAGCCCCCCAACAACTCGCTCATTTACTATGTAAACTTGGTTTTGTTGACAGGATTTGAACTGTGATCTTTACCTTCTAGAGCACGCCAGTGACAGTAATCTCAACGACTTGGCTGACATTGCATTCAATTTTCTCGAAATACCGTTGTTGAGTTGCATTTCTATCCGTCGTTGTTCACACTGGTCAGATCTTATTCTACTCTCCCATCTCCATCTAGGCCATATGAACTGGTCGATTTTGAATTCTACACCTCCGATCTGTTACTGCTTCTTGTGTGTCGCGCGAAAACACCCGGTCACACACCAGGGATGCGTTCGGACAGCACTCGCGAGCCGGTCCTCAGTTGGCTAGTTATGTTACCTTTGGATACTGTGTTCTCTGCTTCTGGCGAATCGCATTCACCTTTTGATGCACAGTCTGGTTCACTCACTCCGCTTTGGTCGATGGATAGGTCGCCAACCAATTTCTTGTGAGTATTTCACTTATGCGCGCTTTTGTGGTTAACAACAAACACCGTCGCGAGAACTTACTGTTCAGCCATGGAAACCGGCAACCCACGACCTGGGACTTAGAGTAGCGAGCCACATGGGGCGTAGTATTAAGCGAGACTACAGCAAATCTACCTACCACCGAATTTCGGTGGCGGGTCTCGGACCTTCGGGGTCAAACGAGTGACAACGAATAAAAACGCCTGACCAAAATCACCCCGTGTGTCTTTGTTCTGTTATTCGCTGTAACCCCTGCCCCCACCCGCGGTCATTTCTTCGGGCAATGTGTACTGCAAGTACTAGCTAACCGCGAGATTTTCCCTTCTAACCGTATCACCCATTGCCCTATGATTTCCTTGTTTATTCTTTTCTGTTTTTTCGTTCTAGTTATTTATCGAACCCGTTCTTGTGTGATCATTTTCAACTTTCAAAAGGTGCGTATGCACGGTTAGATTGTGTACTGTGTGTTGACTACGGAGGCTCACTTTCTTTCCTTCCCCTCAAAATAGACTCCAATCCTGACCACGAACTTTGTTTGCATTGCGATTTTGGCGGCGATCAGTGAATTTCGCTGTACTATGATGGTGATTTTGATGTTGTAATTAATACGTGTTTTTCTGCCAAATTGTACATCCGAACTCAGCATTACTACCTCTGATCCCTTCTCAGGCATCGTATTCGTCTGTCCGAGGTGGTTACTCAATCAAATGTGGAATCACTTCCTTGGCACGCTGTACAAATTGCCACAAACGGAGAACGGTCAATTGTGTTTGTGGTGAGTGTCTTTTTCTTATCCCATTCTTACCGATTACTCATGTTTTTTCACTAGAAATATTCTTAAGCCACACCAAAACTTTTTCGTTTTCATTGTGGAAAAAGAATATTTCTTTTGATATACAGTTCATCAGAATCTACACGGCGTTATTCTATTTGGTTTATTTGAACAATGGCGCTTTTATACCATTCCAACACCCGACTCTCATTCTGTTGCCTCGTTTTGTATCTAGCTATTCAGAGGTCTGTCCACATGTCGTGTCTACTTACTGGAGCGATTGGAACCAGATGGATCCAGAAACGAAACAGCGGACGATTTGGGCGGAGAGAATGATATGGAAACGACAACCGGCGATGGTCCGAATGCCTGATTCTGTGCCCTTGTTATTCCATCCATTCATTGTATATTTGTTGTATAAAATAACGTTTCCCTCTAACCAAACGCGTTCTGTTTTGCTCGGGAGTAGTGATGACGGTGTTGGTGGTGATGGTGTTCAAATTGTTATCCCGCCTAGCTAATATTTCACGACCACAAGGGACTATCTTAATTTTTCAGATGAAGTTTACCATATGTCTTATTGCTTTTCTGATGATGGAAAATCGTTTCATGCCTGGAGACATTTGACTCGTGACTTATATGTTGGTTCCCTCACTTACTCAGATTGACTATTAATGTTTGTCATTTTCTCATATATTTCTGTCATACACAGAAATGGATACGGTTAATGTGCTGAGATTTTTCACCAGAGGAGGTTTGACCTTTAAATGTTGTATCCGGTAGCAGTTGTTGAGTAGATCATTCCACCCCAATCTTTGTCCGCTGCATCATGCTTTCTGTCACGTACACCTACAAGAATCTTTCAATCTATAATCGGCATTTCAGATAGTTGTAGACTGATCTAGAGCCCTCTTTACTATACTGGGTTTAAAATCAACCTGTAACCGAATATCAGGTAGCATTCGACGAAATATCCGTTTATTTTTTCGGTTGGAGAGTGATATCAGCTTCGTTTTTCGATTTTCCGGTGGCTGTGCAAATCCTCGATCTCAAATCTTCTTGGAGTCTTGTGACGGAAATTGTTCTGTGATCATGGTTGTTTTCTAGCTGAATGTTTCACTGTAGATTTCAGTGGAAAACATGTTGATCAAGCTTAAAGAAATGCACGGAAATTCAGACTAACATAGATGTTTCACTTTTTCAGGCTGTTAGGTTGGAGACACGAAAGAACATGGCATCAGCGTGACATCAGTGCTTTTATTATTGTCATACATATATCATCAGTTTAAAATACTTGATGAGGTTGGTAAGCACAGTCGGATTGTTTTAATCGTAGGGGCTCATTTACTTTGTTTACCTTGTGTACATGACGAGTTTGGCAGCGGTCGATGAAGTTCACTTCACTGTTTTTCCCCGCAGGATTTTCCTATTAAGCAGTTACTCGTTTTCAGTCAATTTTCTAACCGTCTATCTTCATCAAGGGTTTTCTGATCCGCGATAAACGGCTCTAATGCCACTCCATAGACAAGCGCATAAACGTTACTACTGTGAAGTCTAGTTAATTAAAAATTTGGATGAAGTCGTTGACTGTTTATTTGCTTGTACGGATGACGTTGAAGCTTGCCTCGGTTGTTGGTGAAATTGTTCATTTCTTCACTCCACTCCGCTATTTATTTACTCACAAAAGTAAAATTACTCTAATGCGTGTGAATTGAAGTGATTGTGTATCGTTCTAAAGCATAGGGCTTTTTGTTTTTCACCTTCCTGCTTAGTCCGATGGTTCATTTGACTCTGAAGTGTTTTTCCTTTTAGCCCGTGTCATGTCATGCGATATCTCGCGAGCATTTCATACACTGATCCGTGCAATCCAAACAACCGATGAGATTAAACAAAAGAATAATGCACGCACGCGACCGTCAAAATCTGCAAATACGTTCTCGTTTTGGAACCGAGCTGCCCGATTGCGTTCCAATTTAGAAGTTTTGGCGGACTACGTGAAACGTGTTCAACAGCTCACAGCCACCACCGTGGGTAACGCCTTCAAACAACGCGCTCATTCTGAACTAACCAATCAGGTGACCGAATTGATTGAGCAATGCACGGCATTACTGATTCAGCTGAAGGAAGTGTCCCGATTGAATGAAGGCGGTCAACAACTAACGCCTAGTCAACAGCAATTGCGACAACATCGCCAGGTCATTTACGAGTCACTGGAACTGGAACTGAACAAATTGAAAAAGTTGCGAGACGCGGAGGTGCGTTCTTAGAGTTTCGTTCGTTTGTCCGATATGTCAATTTGATTTCATGTGATGATTGATGTAATTGAATAAAATAACATGGAGGCATGTTTCTGTTGATGTTTACGAGGTTTCTGCGTTTATTTCATTATTGCATTTGAATGTGTTCGTGGTGATTTCCATACCTCCTCTATGCGTTTCTTCAATACGAGTTTATAATTTTGCATGCTTTGTTGTACAACATCTCGCACGACCACACATTTCCGACCGGTTTTTTCTCATCGACTCTTCAGCCAAGTCACACGTCGTTAGTTGATTGTTTATACTAATTATATTCGTTTCCTTTATGTGTTTTGTCATCTGGGCGTACAGAGGAATACTGTTTGTTTGCGAAATTGAGATAACCAGCTTGTAATGTTTTTTCCCTTTCCACTGCATCGTAGCGTCAGTCATCAAACCTTTTAGTCGTCTGCCCAAAAAGGTCGCATAAAATCCACAACAAGTCCGTCGTTCTATAACGCTACATCTTTTCCCACCAAGCTTTGGCCGAAACCGACAATCCTTTGGCCTCGAACCGTAATCCTTTATCTTAAACCCACAAATATAACACAAAGGGTATATCGTATTGCATTCACATGCCCTGAAGTAAATCAAAATGTAATGGCACAAAACAGTGAATGCTTCCCTGTTGTATCTTCACTTAAAGTGGACTCCGTTTTTGAGAGGTGGGCACATTGACAGTCTGAAAATAATAAACGCCCTTCACAAATGACATCCCATTTAGTACACCTTTAACCGCCAAGCTTCAGACGAAACCCGCTATTCTTGAGCGTCGACCGTTGCGGTTATGTCAAATGTTGCAGCGTTAATAAACTGGTAACAGTAATGGGGTGTATTTACGTAAACGGTATTTATTATTCTCGGTCCGTTAATCTATCCACCTCTCAAAAAATGGAGTTCGTTGTAAGTACAGGTACGGAACGGTATTATTTTGTGGTATCACGTTTTGATTTATTTCAGCGCTTGTGAATGCAAAACAATGTACCGTTTGTGTTACGTTTGCGTTTTTACTCACAGGATCAGCGCATTCTAGATTTCCCCTGTAGTACGGTCATGCGGCATTCGATGAGTCGGTAATGGTGTGTGTGTGTGTGTGTGTGTGTGTGTGTGTGTGCATAAAAACAACGATAAACAGCAGTAGTGTTTGTTGTACCCAACCTTATACACATCTGCAATATGGAGAACGTTAACCCGGATGGACAGAAAGGCCCTATCGCTTCACCAGCGCCAAAGACCGACGGAGAATAATTTAACCTGTATGCAGAGGCGGTGATTTGAAAGAAGTTTTCAAACATTTTGGTATTAAGATCAAAGCATGTGCTATTCCAGCCTCTGATCGGGAAATAACACTCAAACCTGAATCTTACAAGGCAAAATTCAACGACGAGTCCACAAAACATTTGTATGATGTCAACGGGAACTCTACAAGCACTTTGAACTAATGGAAAATTACTTCCTGGACTTGTGAATCATCAAGAATTCTTTTGATCGATTGCTGAATGGACATCACTATTTGCTTAAGAAGCTAACTATCTAACCCGTGGAACGTTACTCAGAAATTGTAAAAGTAAAACGAGTGGAATATGCCTATTGGTTACAGCGATCGCGTAACGCAACACTGAGGCTGTATATTGATGAAACCAACTACAAAATACGGCACTGTCGAAGCTAAGGCCACTCCAAGATGGTCTGTAAGGCCGAAGCCTCCCACCCAGCAAAGGACGCAACTTAAACATAATAGCATTTTAATCTGTCGCTGGTATTTTGAAATGTGAATGTTGTACAAAGTTTAATTGGCATGCTTTTAATAGGTTGCTATCACGCTGCTCTACGTTAATCACTGTTGAGCAACCGGGTGTTCCAGTTGTTTTTATCTTTGATAATGGCCTTGTTCATCGAAGGACTTTGAATACGCTGTTGCATGACGACCACCAACTTCGATTTCTGCCATCATAAAGTCTCTTTTTAACCTACTGGAAGAGGCCTTTGGTAGCTTCAGGCAGATAAACCTTTTATTCCTGAATTCGCTTATTATGCAGCACATTAAACTGTTATACTGAAAACACTGAAGCTATACGAGATGTGCCAAATGGTTTGTCGATATGAGTTCATCGTTTAAATCTTTTTCAATCGGTGTGTGATATGACATTTTAATACCATCACGGTAGTCAACCTCGCAGCATGCGATCGCCCCACCTTCTCCACTCCTAATCAAACTGTGCAACAACAACATTTGTAGAAAATGCAATTTTTAAACATTCGTTGATCTCAGAATATTCCGATACTGTTTAATCTGAATCGCCTAAAGTGGTGTGACTCAAGTTAGTGCGTTGAGGCCAAAGTACTGCAGGTCGTTGCTAAGGTATTGCGTGTTTCGGTTAAAGGATGATGATTTGAGGCTAAAGCATTACGGTTTTGGCTAAATAAATATGGGTCGAGGGTAAAGGATTGCGGGTTTTTGATAGAGCTCGATTTAAAAAAGGAGTAGTACGGTTCGACTTCATCATCTTACTGTGTGCTTAGAAGAACTTCTGGGCAATTATGAACTTTCGGCCATTGCTCCATAAAATGATCTAATCTTATACCGGATTATCCAGTGTTTCCTTCATTCGTTGAAGGTGCGTCAATTTTGTGGACGATAGTTCTCGATGTATATTACATGCCTAATACTAGATAATTGAGACGGTACTGGCAAATTACTGCACCAAGGGAGCACACCTAATTCCACCAGTTTTGTCGCGTTCGATCTCACAAAATGTGAACGTTAAATTTTGTTTCGGTTTACGTTGGTTCAAACGTCTTGATCTGTTTGATATCATTTGCATTGGTTTACTTGAATCACTCGTGTCATAGAAAAATCCTTTTGGTTTGTTTCTGCGTGATCGGTCTCGCTTATCATTTCACCAGATGTTTTTGCCAAGCCATTCACTGGAACCTCGTTTGCTTTTCTTCTGTATTCCGTTCCATTTTCCGTGATATCCAGTGTTAGGAGGTTCTTGAACGTAGCTTCATCAGATTCTTTTTATTTAGTCTCATCTAGTATACCGAGTACCTCGAATTTGAAATCTTTTCTCCCGCAGCTTTTCATTTATCACTTCTTGATTACCACCAACTGACCTCTGGTGTATTTTCAATCATTAGGAGTTCATCAGTCACGAATATCAGGTGATTGTATTTACGAAGCTTTAGTGTTTTTCTTACGTACGATACAATCGGTTTCTTTCCATCCGTGCGACTAAGCAAATTACCTAACCTAATAATGTTGTATGTGGTTATGTGTATTGTTTCTCTGCTGTCTACGAACACATCACAATAACCAAGAAGTAAAATTAGGTTTTGTATCGTACTTTATTACTGATAACATTTTATATTCGTCAATTATGATATCTTACTCATGTTTACGCCAGACCGAAAGACAGCGTCACCTGATGGAACTTACCGGGAGCTTGGCTTCCGGCGTACGATCGGTTTCACCCTCCCTCCTCCATTTTGATGAGCTCCATTCGGGCACCGGATATGACTCTCCCTATCATTCTGTCAGGAACCGTAGCAGCGTGGTTCGGAACCGTACATCACCGCCTTCGTCGCTCCCGGAACCCCAACTGTCCAGTCAGGTTGTTGAGCAACCCGAATTGACGGACAATGAGGTCCAGACGTTCGAGTTGGAGAATCGGTTGCTATACAATCATCTGAGCGGTCAACGGGAAGATATAACACAAGTAGCTCGAGCAATCACGGAAATTGGCCGTCTCAATCAAGCTCTATCCATGCATTTGACTGATCAGCTTGAGGTATGTATTTTTGACACTGGTGTGTCGTGAAAACACCCGCAAATTCACGGTTCTCGAAGTTGATAGTTCGTTTTTTTTTCGCCGAGCTCAACTTTCGTTTATTCGTCATTGAATCGAAATGTGTTCATAGAAGCACATATTTTTTTAGTGTTTTGGCGCAAATTATTCAGTAGATTGTAGAGTTACAGTACACAATCCGGTACTGTCTGATGAGCATGCAATGGCCGATTCAGCAATAGCTCATAGAGCATATGTGTGTCTCACGTCAAAGACATACTCAAGGTACCATAGGAAATGTATACGTAGAAGTTATTGTATGCACCAACTGTTTAGTTATTTATGAACACTATTCCCGCGGAAAATCCGCCCTACGTCGGTGCAACCGCTTCTCCAAATTTGTCTTCTTGTGAGTGACTTAACGAGCCATCGGGCACCCAGTAAGATATTTTTGCACCACCTGTTATCAACCGTCGGACACTATCTTATTTGCATACATGCCAATCACCCCTTTAAATCAGTCTTCAACTATTCTCGAGCCGTAGATTGTGGCCTCCGATCCACTTTCCTCCCACGCTGATCCAACCAAAGTTCAATCGGATTGAGATCAGGTGGTGTGTCCACAGCAGCCTCTTTATGCGGTGATGCGCGTGAAACTGGCGTTCTACAAGGGAACAATATGCGGGCGCATTCTCCTCCTGAAGAACCGTTTTGATAATCAGTAGCCAGTTGTGTTGAATCAGGAATCTTGAACAGATTGGACTATTGACGAATTTGTCCGGAAACGCCAATTTGCTTTCCTTCCCATCGGATTACTCGCAAGAACTGTTTTTAACCTAGATTGTACTGTATTTCTGTTACTTATAGCGTATCACTTTGTGTTGGTTTCAGCGATATGTTTCCAAACACTTAGTCCACTACCATAGTTGAATATCTCAACTGATTTATCGGTGCCTTTTCTATTCAGAATGCTACTTTTGGTGGCACGCTAAAAGTATGAGAACCGATCGAAACGTATGTTCGTTGATTGGGCGAGTCCGTTCAGATAGAGGTTGGATAACCTTTTTGATTCCTGGTCACGGTTACTGAAAAAATTCCATTTGGTTTTTGAATTTAACTTTAGTGTTTGGATGTCCTTTCTTCTCGTTTTCACGGTGTTCACTGCCGAGGATCATAGACAATTACCTGAACTTTTAAACCAGATGATCTGTCTTCATGACACTGCCTGGATTCTCACATTCCGATTACACATCTCCTGAATTCAAAGAGTAGATGAATATTTTCACTTTTGAACTAGAATATCTCTGTTCCGCACCGCAAATTTCATGTTTTTCTCGCTCATACAACGCCAGACTGTGCAACTAAATTTAACTAGTTAGAAATATTCAGAACCGATTACGTGACACCTGAGGACTTTGGTTGATTT